ATTCTATCCTGTCCATCTTATAATGTACATTGTCCTGCACATTCTACATTCTATCCTGTCTATCTTATAATGTACATTGTATTGCACATTCTACATTCTATCCTGTCTTTCTTATAATTTACATTGTACTGCACATCCTACATTCTCTATTCTCTCTTTCTTATATGAACATTGTATTACACATTCTACATTCTATCCTGTCCATCTTATAATGTATATTGTACGACATATTCTACATTCTATCCTGTCTATTTTATAATGTACATTGTACTGCACATTCTACATTCTATCCTATCTATCTTATAAAGTAAATTGTACTGAACCTCTAATTTCTATCCTGTCTTTCTTATAATGTACAATATATACTGTACATTTTACATTTTATCCTCTCCATTTTATAATATACAATGTACTGCCACATTCTGCAATATTATATTCTACATTCTACAATGTACATTGGATCCTGTTCTTTTTATATTTTGAAGTTGTAGATTATATGATAAATTGTTCAATGTTTAGTGTGTTAATACAGTGATCGGTATTTATGTCTATCCAATAAAGACTTTTTTCCACAAGTTTTTGATTGTTAACAAGCTTTTTTTTTGAATTTGCTGTTTTTTCAAATTACAAGTTTACAAGTATAAAACACAGAGTATATAGCTGTTTTTTCGAATTAAAGTTTACAAGTAAACAACGAGTATATAGCTTTTTTTTATTCTTTCAATATTTTATTTCCATAATTATTTGTATTCATGCTGTTTAAAAGCTTGTTAGAAATCAAAATTGAAATCAAAAATCGTCTTCATTAATTTCTACGACGACTGTTCTTACCTAAAGAACCCCCATTCCACACTCTTACAGTTCATCTTGAGCCTTATCTCAGTTTGTGATGGAACCAACACTCTTCTAGCCTGGCTGGCATCCTTAAACCAAGGTAATAAGGCAAGGAAAGTTAATTGATGTTGCGTATTCTCTGCGTACATATTGAAACCGGTTCTATCTGGGCGGCGTTAGTAAACAAGAATAGATGCATCAGTGTTACTCTAGCATCCGAGGAGGATAAAAGCATTTAATTTTGATAATTTTGATAATTCACATAGAAACTTCCTATGACCAGGATATTTCATTGATTTTTTATGTCAGGCTGTGACATCCGTCTTGTGTTTACTTTACCGCCCAGAGACAGCACACTGCAGTACTGAAAATGCGTACACCTCTGGAATATAACTATCTTTACATTATAATTCTTTTCCTTAAACAGTTAACAGGGGGATTCTAGACAAATGTTTATATATGCTAAAATTTAGATGAAGCAGGAGAAAAATTCTTCTAAAAAATCCGGAAAGTTGGTTAATATGAGTAGATATCAAATGGCTCAATCTGAACCAACTGAAAATATATCTATTACTGGCACAATCGCTTTCCTTGAAAAATTTCGTTTCAAACAAAGAAACTGAACACTTGACTAAAATTATAATTTTTAAATCCTACAGCTTTGCAACCTGATAATGTAATCCTTTGATATTTTAAACTTCTGCTATTTGAACTATTATAAGTAATAGTTTGAAATATGAAGAGCCAAGACATCAGGTTGCAAAGATGTAAGAATTCTAAAATTAGAGTTTGAGGAAAATATTTAGTTTATTTGTCAATGAATTAATAATTGTAAAATGTTGAAGCGAATAGTCCTTTTTGATATTGAAAACTGATTTATATACCAATAAGAGATCAATACTAGAAAGGAATTGAGTTTTAACCACAAAATCTGATTTTCTAATTCCTATATCTTTGCAACCCAATATCGTATATGTTTCAAACTATAAATTCTGTTAGATAAAAAATCTAAGTTTGAAATGTCAAAGGTTTACATCATTAGGATGTTAAAATATAGGAATGAGAAAATTTGAGTTTGTGGCAAAGACTCAATTCCTTTGTGTTTTGAGAACGAATTTTTAAAATTCATATTTTGATTAGTATTTTGCCAATTGGACCTGGATCCCAGAATCCACATATCTTTTGTGGATCCTGCACTGTAAAAGGAGAAGGTGCCCTGGTAGCTTCTCTGGAGTTGATTTTACGTATAAGTATGGTAAAAGACAACTATAGCCGGTTTCATATTAGATATTCAAAACATTTTTTCTTCTCAATAGCTCTTTCATATGAGGATTTATGAAAACTTATAATATTTCAATCTTACGTAATAAACTAATAGTTTGATGCAAATAAAATAAACCTGGTGAGATTTAAAATGTAGTATCACGTTGTAACCAACATTATCCTGTGACGTCACAACTGCAACCTTAACGACATGGATGAAGATTATTTATTTATAATGATAATAATAATAATACGAGGTATGGTTAATAAGTTTTGCGAAATATTTGTTAAGGGTACTTCTAGAATCTAGACGTCTCAGCCCTGTCATTTTTGTGTGGGACCTCACATGACCCCTGGAAAGGCTTACGGGAGCTCAAAATTACAAAAAGTTATACTAAATTTTTGTAAATCCAAGAAAAAAATTGCAAATCCGCAAATTTTTTTATTATTGTTTTATCGAAGAGAAAATGGCGAAAGGTTAAGTAACAATTAAAAGTTTAAATATAAGATGGGCGCGCGAAGCTGATTTAGAAATAGATTAAAAAAATCCGCTGTCCAGTTATAAATGACTTCAGACCGAAGTAAGTCCTTGTAATAGATTGTTCTCAAATAAATACCACAAAATTAAGGAATTCTTATTTCCTCTCTTTATCTATATATATATTATACCTATATCTGATAAGTAAAACACAGATTATTTTTCCATTTATCTATTTTCTTATATATATACTTTGCTTGTCTGTCTGTTTATTTCTTTGTATCCAATAAACTTCAAAAAAACACTGAACCGATTGGGCCCAAAATTTTGAAGCAGCTCACATGCTTAGAATTGCAAAAATTTGTCTCCAAAAAAATTGATATTAGTAAAATTTTGAAAATCCACGAAAAAATATTTTTAATTCTACGAGCTTTTTTGTTATTGATTTAAATTGTACATAAAGAAAATGCTCACGGATAGAGCAACAATTAAAACTTGAAATAAAAATGTCCTCTCCCATATAAAACCCCCCCACCCCTCCTCCCCTCCTCCCCTCCTTCCCTCATCCCCTCCTCCTAAGATTTTTAAAAGATATTTCTTTCTTCATGTTTGCAAAGTGTGGTTAGGAGGATAAGTAAAAAATAAATCTTACTTTAGTAAGGTTCTTGCAATATCTACTGATAAGAAAGAACCAGTATTCTGCTGAGCGAGGAACCAGTAAACCAAGAACCAGGAGCTCATCTCGGTCCTGGGATCTACATTAAGCTCATAGAGGATATATAGTTACAGGGTTACCAGGATATTTCAGGTACATAGAGGATATACGGTTACAGAGCTACCAGGACATATCAGGCTCATAGAGGATATATAGTTACAGAGCTACCAGGTTATGTCAGATACATAGAGGATATATAGTTACAGAGCTACCAGGATATATTATACTCTTAGAGGATATATAGTTAGAGAGCTACCAGAATATATCAGATACATAGAGGATACATAGTTACAGAGCAACCAGGATTTATTAGGTACATAGAGGATATAAAGTTACAGAGCTACCAAGATATGGCAGGTACATAGAGGATAAATAGTTGTATATAGAATGTAAAGTTACAGAGTTACAATGTTTTATCATGCTCACAGAGGATGTAAATTACAGCAGGGTAACATCAAATACAGCTGCACAGAGAAGTCTCAAAAAGATTTGAAATTTTATGCAGAACCAACAATCTTTTTAAGAAAAGCACACGTTTATAGTTTAGATTTTCTTGAAGGAATTGAAATCAAGAAATTAATTTAAATCTCAAATTTTTATGCGGGAAACAGTACCCCATACATTATCATTTTTTTATGTATTTTCAAACCAATTTCCAAGTCTACTGAATTTCGGATATTTCCTGATTTCATTTTAACGGAAACCATACTTTAACTGAGATTAATTTAGAAAATGACGAGACGGTCGACAAAATTTCAAATAATCCTCCATCTAAAAAGTTACATATTCGATCCACAACGGTACCCTTTAAACCTTTAGACTTAGCAGCAAAAACAAAGAAGGAAATTGTCAGAATTGATACCTTTCTAGCGTCGGTATCTTCCTCATTTATTCGTTTATCAAGCTGTGTAGAATTGTATCTCTTCGAATAGAGGGTTTTTCAAATTCTAATTTTTAAAATTAACGAATTCATACTTTTTCAAAAGAACCGGTTTCCCTGGTCTAATCTCCACTGAGTTGAGAGTATTCACTGCTTTATATGCATCTTCAACTCTCGTGTACCGTACATAGCAGTGGGTCCTGAAATAATAAACTCTCATGTACCGTACATAGCAGTGGGTCCTAAAATAATAAACTCTCATGTACCGCACATAGCAGTGGGTACTAAAATAATAAACTATCATGTACCATACATAGCAGTGGGTCCTGAAATAATGTAAACAAAATGTTAATTTTTCTATTATTTTTTATCAACAAAAGTGATTGTAAAAAAATTATATAAATTTTATATTTTTGATTTTTTACTTTTCCAAAACCAATAAACTTTTCAGCGTCTACACTCTATATGCTTGCTGTTTTGCGTTGCCTGTTATTATAATATATTTACTTCGTGAATCCACTTGATTCTTCTATCTATCTATCTTCTTCTATACTTTGTTTGTTTGATTGTCTGTTTGTATCCAATAAACGCCAAAACGGCTAAACCGATCAGGCCAAATTTTTTGTGGGAACTCACGTGACCCCAAGGAGGGATATGGATGCTCTGAATTACAAAAATTGTCTAAAAATTTTTATGATTTTCTTAATATTTTATCGAAAAAAGATTGATCGCAACAATTAAAAGTTGAAATAGAAGCGCCCTGAAACCCTAGTTTAATATATTTACTTAGTGAATCCGCTGAAATGAACTAGAATTCTTAGTTTCTGAATAGTTCCAGCTTTAGAGAAGAATGGAACCAGCTCATCTTCAAAACACAGATCAGGTAGGTTATAGCAGTACACTTCTGCTCCTAAACAATAATAATAATAATAAAAATAGTAATAATAAATATGAAGAAATTAAGTATTTGCCACAAACTCTGATTTTCTAAGCCATATATCTTTTCAACCCAATATCGTAGATCATAGAATTTCAAACTATTAGTTACGTTAAATCAAATAATCAAAGTTTGAATTATCAAAGGTTTACACCACCAGGTTCCAAAGAAATAGGAATTACAAATTTGATTTTGTGGCAAATACTCAATTTCTCCAAGTATAAATAAAAGAACTAAATTTTCATTGAATCATGCATTATGTTTCATGCGTGATTCACAATTCTCGAACTAAAAGATTAAAGGTTCTAGTAAACCTACCTCTAGGCTCTAAGTACACTTACTGGTTGTATATCCTGGTATAAAACTAACCCCTGACAGGATCTAGTAAATCTAACCCTGAAGTACTGGTTGTATATCAAGGTATAAAACTAACCTCTGACAGGATCTGGTAAATCTAACCCTGAAGTACTGGTTGAATATCCAGGTATAAAACTAACCTCTGACAGGATCTGGTAAATCTAACTCTGGGTACTGGTTGTATATCAAGGTATAAAACTAACCTCTGACAGGATCTGGTAAATCTAACCCTGAAGTACTGGTTGTATATCCAGGTATAAAACTAACCTCTGACATCATCCAGTAAATTTAGCTCTGGGTGCTTGTAATGTCTCTGTCCATGTATCTTCGAAATCCTGGCCCCTGTCTTCTTCTGAATATAGAGGGTGTCTCACGAAAAATGACAGTTTGTAAATAGTTTTGAATGTCGTCTTCTATACACTGTATTAGATATTAAAAGCTGTTTGCAGTTTATTTCGTTTTAAAAATATTTTGCTCAAATATATTTCACTTTGAAGTTAATTTTACTATAATATGACTCCTATATAATATTTTTATTATTGTCTTTGGTATTAAGCAACTTAACAAATTATGGAAGAAGACATTCTAAACTATTTACCAACTGTCATGTTTCGTGGGACAAAGAAATTAACAAAAAGTCGACAAAGAATGATTTTTGAAAAACATAATAATTATTCTATTTAAACTATCAATAGATCTAACGTACAGGGTGTCCCAAAAAACATTGGAATTCAGTGACGAATTCGATATCGTCTTTGTTATGAATTAGCAGTGTAATACCTAATTTCAAAAGCCATAATATTATTATGTCTGCTAGAGTTTCTTTTATGAAAAGGGTTAAAGACTGTAAAGATGTGTCTATAATGTCTCCGCAAGATGAACAGTGAAGACGGACAAGTTTACTCTGTTTGTATACTGCAATTTTCTTGTATTACTAAGTACAACCGTATGCAGTGAAAACATAAACAAACAAAATGTGAACATAGCAGACGAAACTCTTACAGATTACAGCTTTCTCAGTAGGTATCACTATACTAAATTAAAGAATTATTTAAAAAGACGATATCGAATTCGTCACTGAATTCCCATGTTTATTGGGACACCCTCTACGTAAACCCCGCTATTTGTAATGGTAAAGGTTATAGGGAGATTTTTTAAAATTCTGGGTGGGGGGGGAAGGTTGCGAAAAATAAGTTTTTATTGTTTTTGCAAATAATATACTTTGACACATGTTTTACTATTCATTTTTCAAAGGCTTTTCAAAATTATAACTTTTAGATCGGTAGCTTAAATAACAAGTTAAAGGTTATCTTAGATTTTTTGAAACACCCGGGCGGTGTTTAAACTTTCAACTTTCAACTTAACCTTGCATTAAAAAAAAATTATTATTTTTATTACTATGTCAAGACAGGCAACAAATTTCAAGGTGTAAGTGTGAAAAATGATTGCCAGGACGAACAAAAAAGGGCATTTTTGGTTGAAAGGACATTTACCATCAAGTTTACGCGATTTTAAATCCTACCAGAAGAGATTTAATCCTCCTGTTCTTCTGTTCAATCTCCTTGTTTGAAACCTCACAGTCCACCAGGATACTGATAAATCCTCCATCTGTAGGATCCAGGGAATCTTCAACAGCAAGATCATGAGAGTTCATCTTGCTCAGGGTTCCTGATTCATCCTCATCTTTATTGGGTTTGGGGCGTCTAATCACTTCTCCACAAATGTCAGCAGCTTCTCGTGTTTGAGCTGCTGCTCCTCTGCCTGTGTTAGCAGCTGAAGCTCCTCCGCTTGTGTTTGCAGCTGCCCCCAGAGACTCTACCTGTTTACCAGATCTATCTCCAATTAAATCTTGATAAACGTCCGACTCTTCTCTATCAGAGTCAATCAGGATACTAAAAAGAGAAATATTACTGAATAATTTTGAAACTATATGGTTTTTAAAAACTTACTCAAGGTTGGATTTTTCATTGTCCATGAGAAATGCGTAGGTAGAGAACGCGCATTCTTCTAGCTCAATAAAAACCTTCTCTTTCAAACCTTCTACAGGAGAATCCATCTTAACAGAAACCTTCTCTTCCAACCCTTCCACAATAGAATCCATCTTAACAGAAAATGAGGGGGTTTCTTGCAGCAGGAGAGTTTCTTTTCTCTTCTCCTTATGCAACATAGTTTCAAATTATATTTTTGTTTTTTATTTCAAAGTTTATCAAAAATTAATTTTAAAAAACGTAAATTTAAATAACTCAAAAAATCTAAGATTAAAAAAATTTCCCAGAAAAAAACATTAGATTAGTAAAATTTGCCTTTTTTGATTGAACTTTTGTCTTGGTTATTGATAAAACCTGGTAATTTCACTTGAATGTTTACTAAGTTAGCAAGTATTAATGGATAATTTAGACCTGTAGTTACTTCCTGGTTCCTAACTGCTCATGTAAATCTGAAAATGTACATTTTACATAATTACACAAAGCAATGTTATGTAGTACATATTTCCATTTTAAAATTACGGGGAATTTACAGAATTTGCATTGGACTTTTTTAAGAAGATAGAAAACGTACATAAAACACAATGAATAAACACAAGTGAAATACAGGATTCGGGCAATAAACTCTCTGTGTTTGTCAGCGAAAAACAACCTTTGTTCTTAAACAATTACAAAGATTGAACAAAAATGTTATACTTCAGATTTTCTAAAATAAAGATAAATGCTTTCAAATTCCTTATTGCTACAGAATACAGAAAATGACAAAGCATTTCTTTGCAAAAATACGAATTAAAAATATTTTTACTTAAGATTTTCTTTACAAATTGTTTTTGTTACATGGTTTCAATTAAAAAATAACACAGTCAAAATTCTAAATCGAAATTCTGAATTAGATCTTCTTAGTTCGCCGTCAGATTCAGTCCTGGTCTGATTCCAGCCAAACGAAGACTTCTTCTCCGACCTTGGTCCAAGTACTGTACCATGTCTGATCCTAGACACATTCTCTTCAAAGACGCAGACCCGTCGAACCCTAGAACAGTCTTACTTCTCTTCCTACTTTCTACGGGTACCTTGGTGTATGTGTGAACTGTGCGGCTACGTTTCTTCACTTCTTCTACAGATTCCTCTTCAACTGAAGCTGCTCGAGGTTCTATTTTCGGATAAACAGAACGGATACGTGTCTTCACTCCACCTGAAGATTTCCCTACAACTTTAGGTTCTAGTTTCGACTGAACTGAGCGGCTACGTTTCTTAACTTCCCTTAGAGGTTCCCTTTCAACTTTAGAAGCTCCTTGTATTGGTTCATCATCAAGTTCTTGATGCTGGTATAGTTCTTGTTCTAAGGCATAATCTGTACAAACTGATTTCGATCTCTTTCTCAGTGGTTTAGGAGGTCCATAAGAGTTTATTCGTTTCATTTTTTTCTTCTCACCAGCTCCGGAGTATCCACTCCGTCCTGCTCCGGGATTCAGTTCTTGCTCACTTCTCCTATCTCCGGGACAAGGTAGATCTACATGCTGTAATAGTTCTGGATCTTCAGCATTATCTTCACGCACTACTTGAGATCTTCTCAGTAGTTTAGGAGGTCCAAATGAACTTCTTCGTTTAATTTCTTTCTTCTCATCAGCTGTGTGTGAGATGTTAATCTGCAAACTCAATCCTTGTTTAAGAAACTTCTCACATGAACCAACTCCCTCTGATGCTGATGCAACACAGTTGTAATCTTCGTTCTCATCGTTCTCCTTCTCTTCCTTCTCCTTCTCATTGTTCTCCTTCCCTTCCTTCTCCTTCTTATCGTTCTCCTTTCTTTCCTTCTCATCGTTCACTTTCCCTTCCTTCTCCTTCTCATCGTTTCCCTTCCTTCCAATCTCCTCCTCATCGTTCATTTCCTAGAACAAAAATTTATTTCATTAGACACTTAAATTAAAGATATTACAATCAATAAAAGGATACACTTAGATGAAATACAGAATATGATTATCTTTTAGAATTCATCAACTATATTACATTAAAGTAATGATTACCTTATGATGGATGTTCTTCAAATGTCTTTTCAAACTCTTGAGATTCATTACTTTGGTGCAGATCGGACAAAAAACACGTTTCTTCTTCGTTAAACTTTCAGAGGGATTCAGGATTGTTTCTGATTCTTGCTTCGAGATCGTTTCCGAACCTTGCTCTTTGCTGGTTTCTGTAACCTGCTCTATATCTTGATCAAGGCTGATCTCTGTACCTTGCTCTAGGCTGGTCTCTGTACCCTGCTTTATGATAGTCCCGATATCTTGATCTAGGCAGGTCTCTGTATCCTGCTCTAGGCTGGTCTCTGCAACCTGCTCTAGGCAAGTCTCTGTACCCTGATCTAGGCTGGTCTCTGTATCTTGCTCTATGATAGGTTCTGTACACTGCTCTCGGCTGGTCTCTGTACCTTGCTCTCGGCTGGTCTCTGTGCCTTGCTTTAGGTTAGTTTCTGTACCCTGTTCTAGGCTGGTCTCTGTACCCTGCTCTAGGCTGGTCTCTGTACCTTGCTCTCGGCTGGTCTCTGTGCCTTGCCTTAGGTTAATCTCTGTACCCTGTTCTAGGTGAGTCTCTGTACCCTGTTCTAGGCTGGTCTCTGTACCTTGCTTTAGGATAGTCTCTGTACCCTGCACCAGGATAGTTCCAGTACCCTGCTCTAGGCTTGACTCTGTACCTTGCTCCAGGATAGTCCCGGTACCTTGATCTAGGCTTGACTCTGTGCCTTGCTCTAGGATAGTTTCCATACCTTGCTCTTTCACAGCATCAGTTGTAGTCTTCAAAGAGGAAGCATTGATTTCCATAACATTAGCATATGTAGCATTTTCAGCCGTAATATCAGTTGCACAATTGTCATTTATTGCAGTTCCAATAGAAGATGGAACAGCATTTGCTTTCTCAACATCTGTTTTCACAATTTGTTTATCCTGGTCTGAAATCTCCGTGGTGAATATCTGGGATTGGAACAACTTCTTCTTGATTCTCTCTTTGTCAGAGTTCACAGATGTGCTAGAATTGTTCTCCGTGTCTAAGGTGAAAGCTGGTTTAATTGTTGAAAGCATGGAACCAAAGATTTCCCTGGGTGTAGCAGATTCTAGGTCCGGGTCTTTGTTCCCTGAACTCACATGCTCATGTTCTACAAAATATAGACCACACATCGGATCACAGCAGAGCTCCGGGTTCAAACTCCGGGGCGTGGATGTACAGAAACCTAGATTTGAATTAGAGTAGATAAGAAAGAAAATTCTAATTTAGAATAATTATTAGTTTATTCAACAGTTGCCTGACTGCCTCCGAAGAGAGTGGACCTATCCTATGCGGTCACAGAATTACAGCATGGAGGAGCGCTGTGTTTAGTTACGCATCTTGTATCATACAGGGGAAGCAAGGAATGTTTATAGATTGAAACAAAACTTCATCTTCAGCTTGGTGTAATGAAAGAAGGAGTTTAACCCCTGATGGGTATACAAGCCATGCACAATGGTTTTTTACTCGACCAGTTGTGAGGACTGGACTGCTATAGAAGATTCCTCTCTAGAGAGTTTAAGGGCTTACAACTCCCCATTTTGCATAAGGGGTGCAGTGATGGATTTCCTTAATCCCCCTTATCTTGGAAAGAGTATAATAAAGAAGGAACACAGGGAGCCATCCTCTATACCCTTTCTCCTACAAAACTCCTTATCTCTCTCCTACCTGCTCCACAACTTGATATCAAAAGAGCTATTTGGAAAGGCCATAAAGTGTTAAACAAGAAAAAAGAAGAAAATATTGAACAGGAAAATTAGAGGGGGTGTTTTAAGCTTTACACTATCTTTCTTACTGATAGCAAATGAAGACGAACACGGGATAGAAGCTGTCCCCCCCCCCC